AGAGAGAGAGAGAGAGAGAGAAAAAAGAAGAAAGAAAGAAAGAACGAAATGAAAATCTTACCAAACACCTGAAATTTTCGTTAGAGACTCCTTCTAATGATCTAATCGAGCCTCACATAACTTAGAAAGATATATCTGACCAAATGTGAACAAAAATGACAAGTTTCAAAGATTTTATTATTCCCCCTTGCATTGAGATTGTTTCTTGCTAAGATAGTAAGATTATTTGTCAATTATCTTGCGATTTCTTTGATTAATTTTATATTTTGTGGTATGATGTATATAAAAAAAAACGCGACACACGGTGAACGAGGGAAGGGAGGGGGGTGGGGGGGGGAAGAGAAACAGACTAACGAAAATTTCGAAGGGTAGTTTAATAGCGGACTAACGATCGTTATCTAATTTTAGCGATATTAGTTAATCTGATAAGAATGGGGGTGTGATTGGCAAAGTAAGGGAGATCGAATGACGTCGCGTGCAAGTCCTTCGGTTCGATTGAGAAACAAAGTCTGTAGGTGTAATAGTTACGCGATGTTGAACAAAGAGTCTCATTTGTAAACGTAATAAGTTTGAAGAAACACAGACAGTGCGACAGACAAACAAAAATCACTTGTTTACTTGTGTGATTTTTGTCGCCAGAGTCGAAAAATATCAATCAATCTTGATCCCGTTGTTTGTTCGATGAAATTAGAGTGGAATGAAAGAACAAATGAAACTAGGATACGAATTAAAAAAAAAAAAAAAAAAGAAGGGGAAAAAATACAGGTTGAATAATGAAGGGAAAATAGTCAGAGATGGGATGCATGTGTGTGCATGAAAATTATTTTCATTGAAAGAAAAGAAGAGGAAAACAAAATTTCAAAAGGTTAATGTTTAGTGTTTTCCGGGTTCTGGCAGGAAATGAGGAAAGGATAAAAAGAAAGGGGAAATTCATTATGAAAGATTAAATTACGATATAAATATAAATATCAAAGTGTCGGGAAGGTCCAATTGGGGAGGGCATAATTTCTATTTTTGTGAATTACTGATTTCTGCTTTATTTTTTCACTCGATGAACAATCATTTTTAATTGTGCAACTTTCACTTCTATCTGCTCTCCTCACTCCCAAAGTGACACATGAAACAGTACTATTACTATTGCTACTGTACTATTACTATTATTACTATTGCTACTATTACTATTACTACTATTATTACTACTACTACTACTATTACTATATTGTAACTACTACTATTATGATTATTATTAATTATTATTAATTATTGTCATTATTATTATTATTATTATTACTACTATTATTATTCAAATACACACATACACGTATATATATATACAAGAAGAATATATATATATATATTAATATACTTAACGGTGTTTCTAGTGGATTAATTGATTATTGATACTTAAGATATTATATTAATAATATTAATATAACAATTATAATGATGATAAATATATATATATATATAATTATATATAAATATATATATATATAATGATACACTGATGATAAGTTGATATGCTGATAATTATTATGATGATATAATGATAATATAGAAGAAAAAAAGAGTGGATCATTATTCGTAAAATACATACTGGTATAGATTATGAGGATGATTAAATAGAAAATGATATTGATGAAAAAAAAGCAAACGAATTTTGTCAATCCAAACAATCTCTCCCTTCGATTAAAACTAGTTTTTTTTCGTATTAAGTAATTAGTTTTATGATTTTTATTTTATCCAAAAAGGTTGAGAGACTTAAAACACTGCACGATTTAATATTAATAATAAATTTATTTCTTTTTTTTTTATTTGTTCTCTTAAAAAAAGAAAACGCGCAAGAGGAATGTATGCAACTTTAATGAGTTAATTTTTTTTTTTCCTCCAGTTCATCGAAAAATCACATAAAAAACTTTTTGTGCATGAGTGGATGTATAAGTGGAAGCGAGCATGCGAGTGCGCGTGAAGAGAGAGTTTCTTTTTTCGCGTAATTGTTTTGATAGCCACGCCTTCCTGTTGTTCGCTCACAGTTATTAGCCAATAATTCTAGACTAGTTCCTTCTACTTTCTTTTTGTCGCTTCTGTTTTGCAATTTGCTCCAAAAAAAAAAAAAAAAAGAAATACGTAAAATATTTCCGTTTTCGACATTTTTGCGTAAATTTCGGTTGCTGGTTCCTCTTCGGTTCTATTCAATTTTTTGACACAAAACAAATTTTCAGTTTATCCGATACGATTCGGGCGCAAACGTGAAATAATTTTATTGTCTAGGATGGAATTACAGAGGTGGTCCACTGTTTCAAAGAATTTTTTTTTATAATTCTTTTTTTTTTTTTTTTTTTTTTTACATCATTGACGCCACTACGAGAAACGAACTATTTATTGGTGCAGTGTTTTATGCGCGTCCCAACGTTATTTCAATTCACCATATCTCGAAACTGAGCTCGAAAATAAATATTCGATAGAAACATATTAAACGTTATACTCTATGATATGTTGTGCCGCAAAAATCTTTCGAAATGAAAATAAATTCAGATACTCAGGTTCGAGATAATTTGGTGTTCCTCGGTACGTTATACATAGGGGCGAATTAATTTTTTATCGTTCAGGTTTTAGTTGGAAAAAAAAAAAATTTGCCCCTTTAGTATTTTTATTACCATTCATCACGATAGTTTTCTTTTTATTTCTTTTTTCTTTTAATTTCTTAAATTCTTAACTTTCTTCGTACGTAAAAGTTAAGATAGCTTTCACATTGTCGCAGAGCGGAGAACGTGGAAGTTTCCATTCGTATTCTCGCGTAGCTACGTCATCCCCAATTTACATATTCACGCCTGGCGAGAAAGGCGTGTTCGGGGCGGCCCACACTACCTAATTTCCTCCTTTATTTCCCGCAGACAACACCCCGATCCCAAAGTTCAAAAACACCGAAACTGGAAGTCCGACATTCATTCCGAACGGAGACGCAGCCCCAGGTCCCCAACGGTTTTCCTTGACCCAGCATACGAATTACCACCCTTATAGGCGCTAAGAAATAGCGAATACGGCCTATCAAAGACACACAGATATCAAGCATCTAGGTTAATTTAAAAAAAAAAAAAAGAAAAAAAAGAAAAAAAAAAGGAAAGAAAAAAAAATTTAGGAAAATAGAGAAGAAAGAGAGAAAGGAGAGAGGTTGGCAGCGCTGTGATGGAGGAATATGGGTATCAGGTGTAAGGGAAAGCGTTGATTAGATAGATGTGAAAAAAAAAAAAAAACTTGTACTTAATCGTACACATTTTTCAAAGGTGGCCATCATCCTCTTCTGCTTCCCTATACCTGAAACAATTCACGTCCACGTTTTGATACATTATTAAGGAAAATTGCTTTTATAGTTGTCACTTTTTGATCGTTCACGCGAACGATGATTCGTGAAAATAGCCCGTAAGACGATTTATCTATTAAGGATTTATATAAGTTACGTGCAAGTGACGGCGTGTAAGCATGCGTCCTTTTAAAAATTAAGATTACTTAAGGCCTACCGCTTAGATCCGTTATTAAGTTACTTATAATATTAAATTTTATCACGGGACAATTTTTAGATTTATAACGTCTACGCTATATTCTTTTCTTTTTTTTTCTTCCATATTTTTTTTTTCTTTTTAATTTATACATGTAGATCTAATGACAAAAAAAAAAAAAAAATTGGAATCATGGTAACAATTGGTCTGTACATTTTTATTATAAAGAAGATATCTACTATCACCATGCTGCGAAAAAAAACTTCCTAAGTTGAAATTTAGGGTAGATTTTTATTTATTTTACTTGGACTTGGAAAAAATGATACGTACGCAACAACAATTTGCTTTCGAAATTAGAATATCAAATACGAAAATGTTAATTTAATCTTTTGTTCCCAAGTCCAGAAACAGATTAAATTCCAAATTAAACTGCGTATCCTCTTGTATCGACCGTTGCCGTTCGGATCTGAAACACGCGCTAAAATTCGTGTCCGTGTGTGTAATAAACCGAGACCCTTCCCCAAGAGAGTCTCGGGTTAAACTCGATCGTGAACTTTCTATATTAGCCTCGAAGTTGCTCGATGCTCGTGATACATAGTACTAAGTACTTTTATACTAATTATTAAGGCCGCGATATAGAAGAAATAAATTTTGTACTAAAAATTGTAAGAGAGAAAGAGAGGGAGAGAAAGTGAGAGAGAAAGAGAGCGAGAGAGAGAGAGAGAGAGAGAGAGAGAGATAGATAGATATTATCACAGGTGAGAAAAAATACGAGGATATTATAACTTTTTTGGTTTTATCTCGTATATTTAAGTCGGCGGTGTTTAGTCGATAAGCACTAATACGATTAAGATGATTAAGGACGTAATATAAGCTTTTCCTACTTGCACGTTACGAGACATTTTTTGATACAATTTATTTCTTTTGTTGCACGATCTGATCGTTTTTTCTATTGTTTCTTTCTAACTATACAATAATTAGTCCTTAGATTAATCTTAAACATTATCGATATTGATACGTCACTTTTTTTTTTTTTTTTTTTTATATATATATATACACACACACATATATATATATTTATAAATCTTATACAAAACTTGTACTTCTCCGTGCTTTGCGAACATTTCCCAACCACGAATCGATATCTCCTAAACATCATCATTTCGATCATCATCTTCCACGTTAAAATCCATCTTCCAATATATAATCGATCTCGCGATTATCGATCTTTTTCCATCAAAAAAAAAAAAAAAAAAAAAAAAAGAAAAAGAAAAGAAAACGCGACCTCGTCTTCTTTGATCCACGATACGATTTTTATCCCTAATGACCTAAAAATTCTCCTTCATCGCAGCGTGCCCCCTGAAGAACCTTAAGAAACTTCATCGACACGATTATCGAAGAGGTTGATGAAGATCTTTCTATCAAAAATCTACTACCTCTCTACTACCGTTTCATCCCTCTCGAACCTCGAACGTTCAATCTCTTCGGTCATCCTCGTCCGAGATTTACACGCGCCTACCACATACTCTCTCTGTATTATTTTCTCCCTGACTGCAATCCTGGGCCGCGTCCTGGCACACAGTACTACGTTCTTTTATACGATTCTAACAGGCACCGAATACGGACCTCCGAGACTAGGAAGCGTTCCTGCTGCCCCAGGAACCAACGACAACTACGGTGGCGGTGGGCCCCAAAGGGGTTACACGGGATCCTCATCCAGCTCCAACAATTACCATCCTTACCGCCGCTAGAGATGGATAAAAAAA